TGCATAAATATACACGATCTATTTTCATAAAGGGACTCTCCTCTTTAGATTCAGCCTTACCTTTAATTTCTGATAATGAGGAAGGCTGCTGCAATGAGTATTCTTTGCAACTTCTTCATTTGTATAAAAGAGTGAACACAGCTTACAGTAAAACCCTGTTTTAGGTATCACATAGTCTATACCTAGAACACAAACATACATTCTTACAAATTTAGTAAATCGAAAATTTTAATTAGTGTTCTCAAATCTTTTTTCCGTCATTATTATGTGAATGAGATATTTGTGAGAAGTCCAATATAACCTAAGCTAAAACAAAACAAAAACCGTATTAGTTAATTGTACTTAACTGATGTTTAAGGTCCCACCTAACTGTACTCTTAAAAGGCAAAAATATAAAAGATTAAAAAAAAAAAAGCAATGTGAAATACTCAGAAACCTTTATGCGGAGCAAGAACATATTGTGAAATGGTAACAAAAGATAATACAAAATGAGGAGAGCTGGTTAAGTGGAAAAGAAAGAATATGTCAATTAAGATTTACAAATTGTTCTGCAGAGAAATAAAACTTAAAACGGTATCAGAGTTTATGTAAGACCAAGTACTAAGAACTTGGGAAGGGTGAGAGGGGAAGAACAAAGCCTTAAATCTCACCAACAGGAACATTGGGCTGATATGGTCCAATTCTATACTCATCTGGGATTGTATAGTCCTCCTTGTTTTCATCACTTTGGCCATCTGCATTTTCACTTGTATCTTTGTTGGGATCATCAGCATTCTCAGCAGGTTCAGCGCCTGGTTCTGTATTTTCCTCATTTTTAATTCCATTTTCCAACGCTGCTTCGTTTTCTTGATCAAGTTCCTCGATCTTGTCCACCTTAATTTCAACCAAACCATCATCATTTTTGTCACCAGATTTAAATGCCATGCCCGATTTACGAAGTTTCTGAAGTTCCGAATCTTCCTCATCACCAACCTCATCTAGAGTGACAAAACCTTCCATACTCCCTGGGAAACGACGCTGTTAAGAAAGACAAATTTACTCTGCAACAATTATCCTGCAGCATCCCTTCCATCTGCTTTACTTGAAGGGAAAGGGATAGCATCTTTGTCTTTATTCATTCTTTCAAAATACTGACTTTTTCCTTTCTCTCCCAAAATCACTGTCTTTTTTATTTTTTTAAACAGCTTTGTTTTAAATCTGTATAATTAAAAGCTTGCCTCACACGAAGAGCAGAAAATAAATAAGGACATTATATTCTACACTTCTGAAAACTATTAGGCTGCAAGGGACTATATCAAAATGTGATTTGATAAAAGTAGTTCAATGGTATCCTTTGGAAGATAGTATCGTATGATACAACTGTTATTTAGAGAACACTCAGTCTAAAGTATGTAGCGGTTAAAAAAGGAAAAAAAAAATCAAGCTCTGGAGCATGACTGCCTATGTTTAAATTTTGACTCTGCCGCTTATAAGCAGTATGACCAAGGACAATTTACTGAACTTCTCTATGCCTAAATTTTCTCATTCATGAAACCAGGTTAACAAAGATATGTATCTACTGCTCACAGTTACTGTGAGGATTAAGTTTATTAGCATACACAAAGAGCTCATAAAAATGTATAGCATGTAATAAGTATCAGCTCTTAAGAGTGCAAACATTATACAACAATCATCCACTTCAGCCAGAAAAATAACTTTAAGACCAAGTTATGTCTTGACTAGGCGCCTGGGTGGCTCAGTCGGTTAAGCGTTGGCCTTCGGCTCAGGTCACGATCCCAGGGTCCTTGGATCCAGTCCTGCGTCAGGCTCCCTGCTCAGCAGGGAGCTTAATTCTCCCTCTGCCTCTGCCCTTGCCCCCTGCTCGTGTTCGCTAGCTCTCTCTTAAATAAAATCTTTAAAAAAAAAAAAAAAAAAGAAGAAGAAGACTGTTATGTGACCAAGCCATTAAAATCTGGAGGCTAAAAATTCGTCTTCCAATAGTTGAACATTGGTTACAAAGGACCAATGGACCAGGAATACTAAGATCTCATTGAAAGAGACATTTAACCTAAGGAGCTTCAAGGGCATTTTAATGCTCTAATCCTTAACACAGATAATCAGTACACCATGGTTTTTTACTTTATGCTATGTATATAATTTTATATTTGTATTCACCTTATATGCTTATCTGTAACGTGTGTTCTAAGAAAAATGTTTTAAAAGCTACTGAATTATCTGATATAGCTTATGTTTCTCAAATAGAATTTTTCAAATTTAACAATTTTTATTTATTTTTAAAAAAGATCTTATTTTGGGGGCGCCTGGGTGGCTCAGTTGTTAAAGCGTCTGCCTTCGGCTCAGGTTGTGATTCCAGGGTCCTGGGATCGAGCCCTGCATCGGGCTCCCTGCTC